AAGAGAGAGAGAGAGAGAGAGAGAGAGAGAGAGAGAGAGAGAGAGTGGTAGGAAAAATATATGATGAGGGAGGATGAAGCAAAAGTTGTAGAGGCCAGGGGATGAAACAACAGGAACTTATTCATTTGACACAAGAGAGAATGGAAGACCCTGCAAGTCACAAGGCAGAAGCCTAAAAAGCAAAACATGTAAGGAGCATCAAATTAATTAGGGTCAAAACAAAAACATGCAATATCACATACCTGTGCTGTATATCAAAAGGGGGCTGTCATCATCATTTTCAAAGAATGTACCGCCAAAAATCAGAAGTTGTGACTGTGGAGACAATAAAATAAACAGCACGTTTTATTCTAATTGAGAGAATATCAAAACAAATATTTTAAAACTGCAAATTGTGTCTTTTTGTATCTAAATTTTACTTCAAATATCCACTGGAAGCATGAGAGAAAAGCGATATGAAGACTAACAATGTTAAAATCAGTCAGTTTTAACGGCCACGTAGAGATCTATTTACAAATACATGAACTGGACTTTGCTCAAGAAAAAGGCTACACATCGAAATAGAAAGCTGCATAGTACTTTACGCTGGAAGAGTGAGCATTTCTGACATTGGAATAGTGAGTTGATTTTTTACTATATTTCTTTGTTATAGGTAAAAGTAGTTGGTATCGCTCAGTATTGACGAGTATTTTCATTTGAATATCGAACTTCAGTCTGGCACTTACACAGAACTCTTACACAATTAAAACTACGTAAAATTACCGTCAGCATGTGTAGGAATATCTGTCGTGAAGAAAAGTCACAGATTTTCCTTGTTTTGCTGTTGTAACCAAGACGTGTCAAAACAAGAGTCTGGCTGAAAAAATGTAAAGAAAATCCCCCCCCCATAGTATGCTGAACACTGCTTCTGACAGCAGTTGAGACATTAAAAAAATATGAAGATCAATAATAAAGAGCAAAAACACACTGATCGTCATTTTAAATCACTGTGGAGGTTGTTCCTTACTGTTTCAGTTTACGTTTATTCTGAGCGTCTTTGCTGTCACTGTCAGGAGCTATAAAGGAGTTTGTTACCAGGAAAGGGAAGACGTCATGGTAGATGGCTATCGATTCGGAAAAGGCAAAGACTCTTATCAAATAACAATTTGGCGATGCTGTACAGTAGGATGTGAATTGTTTCTAACAACCGATCAACTCAGGAGCTGCCTGCTTTTCCAATGTTAGAATATCCATTGTCCGGTGAACAATAGAGGTAAAATTGCTCGCTATTCCAGGGTCCTCCGAAGAAAAACTATACGTGTGCTTACTAGCCACTCTGGAATGATTGTGGGAAAAGTGATTAGATGATTTTTAAGAATGAATTTATGACTTTTCTCTGCCC